TATCCTGTAAAAAACACACTTGGCTGTGACACTTGGTTATCATGAAATTCTGGAAAACCTGCCGCCTCTCCTCGAATCACCGTCTTGACCCGAGGCCGATATTTTTGCGTGTAGTTCTGCCAACTCTGCAAAGCGCCAGGGTATCGTGTCTTGACCGCAGGTATAGCTTAGACTCTCATTTTCGTAGTGTAGCAGACGGTAGTTTCTGTAAAATCCCCATATCCAGCACGAGCCGCAACCATTTGTCTGCTCATAATGTATGGTGGTATCTAGGCCACATTTATTTTGTGTTAATAAGCAAGAGAGAGTTCAAGAGAGGTTGCCCATGAATTTAACTACCATGTAAGCGATGTCATGGTTTAACTAATTCAAGAAATGTAGAAGGTTCACAATAAAAACAACAATCGGCATTTTGAAATTTACCAGAAAATAGACAAAATATATCCCTCAATTTTACATAAGTGGTTCCCTTTCATCTACTCTTGCTCCACTTGGATTTCTAATTCATTCGTTCTTTCGAGGAGGACTTGAAGCGAGCTTTGAGTTATCCTCATGCCTTCTCTTTTTATCGTCGTCATGAGAGATCTGATCTCATCTGCTCCCGAATTTTGGCCGGCTTTGATTTAATAGTTTATGGGGTTCCTTGATTCTATAACTATCAAGCAAATTCGGCTCCTCTCTGACCCAGGACACATCTTGAAAGGTTATTCAGAGACTCATTGGTCAATTTCTCCTCCTTGGCCAACAAAGTGATTGGGTGATGAGTTGGATTTGAACCCTAACATCTTGTCTAGTTAAGGTCAACTTCATGAAAACGTTGCTAGAGAGATGTGCTGAGAGATTCAGATGACACTGACTGCGAGACTGGTTTGGAATCCTCATCCAAGTGAGGACATTGGATAAGATTCTTCTTGGCTATCATGAATACGCAGAGCATACTGAGGATTTACCCCGGCACTGCTGGCAATGAAGAATTTGTCTTCACCAGCCTCTTATTTCTGCTCCTCAGCTCTAGGATGTAAAATCAAGAGCTGCTATGTCAAAAATTTTGGTTGCTGACTCTTTCTACAAATATCGCAGCGGATCTAATCTTTTCCGTATTTAAGGTATGTTTAATTATATAGCTAGGACACATAATCAGTACTATGCGTAAATATTAGATGACCTTTGACTGTCGAGAACCTTATAATCTGAGTTTCATTTGCAGATAGCACTACGAGGTGTGTTTGTTCATACTGAGGAGTCGGCCTTCTTCCGTGGATACACAACAAAGGAAATCTCCAAAATTTTTAATTATCCATTCACACCAGCACCGCAAGAAGTAAGATCTTACTTTCCTGGATTCGAGCTAGTCATCTCGTGTCTCAAGTGGGATATATGTCCAAGCTTTCCATAATCTACTTGGAAGAGCGGCCTAGATGATGTACCACCGTACCATACAACCTTAGCGATGTTTAGAGAGTCGCCTGCACTCTCGCGTCTGAAGAATTGGCGCACGCACAGCTCATCAATTTGAAAATCTTCTGGCCCAAATCCAAAATCTCACTAATTCCAGATTGAATATAGGGTTTTCATCATAGTGTGCACTTAACTGGCAACTTCTTAAAATCACCTCAAAGATCTGCCGTCCACACTTGTGCATCGTGATTGTCCTCCTACCGGTATTTATATTGACGTAGGCATATATTTGGCGGCTAGAGAATAGTCGATAAGAGGTATGGTCATTGAAATGAGAATGTACATGGTCATACTTGTGAACTTGATGAATATTTGGTGAGAATCAATCTTATCGGGAATGAGAGATTGATTTGATGAACAGTCTTGAATCATTGCCTCGTGTTGGAAATTCAGGCTCTGTGCGTCTGAAGTTTCCCTATGACTGTAACAACTAAGATTCCACAGATTCCGGATCAAGTCATTCCGAGTAGGCTGTCGCGTAATGGCGTCACTCTAATCCGCGCATGTGGATTGTTTGAGACACCAGCTACCATTTTTCTGGTCGGAATATAAATTGAGTTTATGTTCTGATCTTGGACGTACTTTCTAACAAAATGGTACGTAACGCCTATACATTTCACCTCTGATAAACTTGAGCCCTTTGCAATAGCTGATGCATTTTGGTTATCAGTAAATGCTAGCATTCCCCTGTTGTCAGCAAGTAGATTTTCGATGTGAAGTTTTTCTAATAATTCTGATTCTGTGGTAGGAGTGAAAACAAATCTCTGTCGATTCGATTGCCAACAAGCTGAGCCTCCTCCTAGCGTTAGTGTATACCAACTGACTAGAAGATGAGTCATATTATCTGATCTATAATTAGAATTGGAATAGACATCGACCTTCATTACCATTAAGAGCGTGTGAGAGACTGGTCTAACATTGTAAGTAGTACAATATTCTGTTGACCCTTTGATAAATTGCAATACTCTACAGACGCTGTTCCAATGCCTGCCAACTAGTCGAGAATTGAATTTACCCAACTGGGAATTGGTAAAAGAAATACTAGGTCTCGTCCTATTGGACACACAGCCTAAACTACTCATGGCGCTGTCATAGGCTGATTTGTCAGTAAGCAACTCCCCCTCGCCACCAAGCACATTTCCATTGCAACCAACCATAGGATATGCACACGCTTTAACATCCTGTAGTCCAGACAATTTAATTCTAACAGCCAAATAATTCGATTGGCTAGTTCTTGATATCTTATCAGACAATTTGATAATTTCGTGGGAATAGTCGTCAGTAAAAGTGAGGAAATTAGAATTTCCAAATATAACAGTGACCTGGCAATTTCCCCAAGTATCAGAATGATCCAGTTCAAGAATATTTGAGAATTTCGATGGAGGACCATGATTAGTCTTTTCCATTTGTTCGCAAGGATTTCAAACATCGCAAGAGTCCAGAGTCGAATTATCAGTGCGAAATTTAATTTCATCTCTGCCCCTTGCAGTCGGAAGATTTAAGTTGGATACGCTGACATTTTCTAACAGTTGCGGGCCAGCGTGTGCAAAACAATGAAGTTCCGTCGCATCTCTCTGGCAATTCTTGGATAGCATAACTTTAGAGGGTACCGACGGGGAAGGGCAAGTATTGAAACAGAAGAGCCCCCCTTTGGGCCTAGCGGAAGCTATAATTTTCCCATCACACGAGAGGATACCGAAACCATTGATTGACGATCGAACCTGAAAACCCTTCGAGAGTAACTGCATTCCTGAGACAAGATTTCGTGTGCAGGACGGAACGTACCAGACGTTATCCATACGGATCATCTTGCCGGCCTTCTCAGGAGTATAGCTAAATACTCTAAACTCCACACATCCAACACCGGAGACAGAAAGAGAGTCGCAAGTGGCAGTAGAAATGGACTTGTTCGATGGTGTGAGAGACTTGAACAAGGATCTATCATGGAAAATATGGTTGGTAACGCCTGTATCAAAAACAATATCATTGTTTTCCATGTCACCTTTTGACTCGAGGACTTGTTCCTTTACCATCCAAATTCCTGACTGGTTGTTTTTAGAAGCGCTAGAAAATAATTCTGATTCGAAACCCGTATGGCGTCGCTGTTGTAACTTCTTCTGCAAACTTCGAGTTCTCGCTGCTTTTTCGGGATTTTTGGCTGCCCATTTGGATCCATCCGGAGTATTTAACCACTTAAAGCATGCCTCACGGATGTGTCCCGAACGCTTGTAGTAGGCGCATTACTTCATTTCACTTATTTCAAGACTTTTGGTGGATCAATTTTCCACTTTATTCTTCATAAGTGCGACAACAGATGTCGGTTGCAGTTCTCGATAGGCTGATTGCGCCGCACGAATTGATGTGACAGCAGCAGTGAACGAAATTTCTAGAGATTTTAACAGAATCAATACAGACATGTAAAACCCAACGCAACATCTAGAAAAATGTGATAAAAGCCTCTTCTTCATGCTTGAATCAGTAGGCCTAGAATTCGCGGAGAGAAGACTTATTTTATTCCTTATTTCAGAGAGCTTCAGAACAAAATCGTCAACTTCGTCGTCGTCTTCGATAGGTATTCCCCAAAATTCTTCTAGCAAGTCATCCAAGTCACCTGATGGATTAGGGCAGTAAAATTCTCTTAAGTTATTCCAACATTCTTTCGAAGTGTAAGTCGAATGAACCAGATGAAATGCAATATCAGGTACTAATTGTGATATGGCAACCCTGATGTGCACGTCAACCTTCTGACTATCGCGAGCAGTACTTGTCGTTTTGGCATCCTCGATTTTAAGGTCGGACACCTGCTCTAGTATATGATGCTGTAAATCATAAAGTGATTAAACATCACTAAAGAGAGAACTCCACCGATTATACGTAGATTTGCTTAATATTGAAGAATGTCTCATGAATTTAAGAATCTGTGCGGACGACATATTTGGTTTTGAATTACTTGAAGAGTAAGCCCCTGTAAGAATAGAAATAAAAAACTGCAAAAATGATTCACTATGAACTTCCCGATAATATTCGATAAATAAGTAAAGCCTCAACTTCGATGGAAGGTGGGCTAACTTGGTCTTATATCTGTTGAAAATAAACTAAGAATATGCAGGACTCTTCGAGTGATCACGGAGAGTTCTGCATATTCTTAGTTTATTTTCAACACCTCGTGGGCCAGCTTGTTTCGTATTCCGAGATATGACTGGGATTATCTTTAGGACAATATTTCACTCCCAGGTTTGAAAAGATACCGTGGACAGGTTTTCACTCTTTGACCTCCTAGTGTTTAATTCGAACGTGGAGATGGTTATGAGAGTCGTGCTTCTGCCTCTGTAGACGCAATAAATGAGTACTCTTGAAATATGTTGTACATGGCTCCCCTACCTATACCCCTGCGATGAAATTGATCTTGAGGCTTGCGAAAGGCCCACTGATGTCACGGGAAAGCAGTAAATACGAAGAAAAGCTACGCAGATCTGAGGGCCCATAAATGTCACTCTGACATAGCGACTGATGCAGCAAAGGTCTCCGATCTATCATTATTAATGGCACCTAAAGCTAAGGGCAACAAAGGGGATAATAACCAGAGTAAAAGCAAGGGCAAAGAAAAGAAGGATAGCGATAATAGTAGCGGAGGCAAGGTTAAAGGTGCTCAACAGATCAATGTTCGGCACATACTGGTATGCGATATCTAGGTCTGGGCTGGCATATCGACTGAAGAGATGACTGAATCATGCAGTGTGAGAAATTCTCCAAGCAACAAGAAGCGCTACAGCGCCTGAAAGATGGAGCCAAGTTTGACGACACAGCCCGAGAGTTTTCCGAGGACAAAGCACGGGTTGGTAGGTTTGGCAGCACATCCAACAAGCAGCCTGTGAACGGCAACTAATGCGGTGGAATAGGAGGTGCGTTGGGATGGAAAAAGAGAGGTGATCTCGAACCATCTTTCGAGAAAATTGCCTTTGATCTCGAATCAAGCACCCTGGATAAGCCCAAATACGTAGAAGCCAAAACTGTTCATGGCTATCACATCATCATGGTGGAAGGTAGGAAATAACGGCGGTCTACGTATTAATTTCATGGACAAGGACTACACAGTGATAAGGTACGGAAAGGACTAAACGCACCAGCTGTCCTCAAGACCTTTTCAGCATCAAGGTGGAGCAGCTCAACCTAAGTACTGTACAGATTTAATCTCCAAAGTTAGTCACAATTTTATCAAGTTCATACAGCCAACAGAACTATGATACGAGACGTTATTGTAATGGTCTAAAGTTTGGTTTTGTCTCTCGACATCATATCTTGTAGCTCTGCATGGCTTGGAATCCATTGGGATCCTCTGGAGGCGGCCACGATACAAGCCTTTTTTCCTTATCATTCACACTGAGAGATGATATCTACATCAGATCTTGCTTCAGTCACTGCTGAACTACGTGTGGAGCGACTTGCGCCTCTCCTATCGAATTAACAAGCCATCCAATAATCACGCACTATCAGTTTGAGTTAAGGACTCTTTTAGGAATATTAGACCCCCTTAGCGTCTGAACCAGAACTACATGAGTCTCCTCTATAGTACCGATATATAGGTATCACGCCCAAACTTTTTTATTTTATTACACTCTCGGATGCAACTTTATTCCATCACTATATTCCTCCTCCCTTGAACCAAAAAATGCAACTTGCTCGTAGGTAGATATCATGAAAGCTGCTTTGTGCATTACTCTTTCAATATCGAGATCAGGGCTGGTGCACAGGCCTTAGTCAACCTTTTCAAAGCGTTTGGATAAACCGACCGGTGCATTGCAGCAGTTCTGCCTGCTGTATGGGGCGTATCTCTCCCTACCTGGCCTCCTCCTAAACCCTTCTCTGATGCATGCTGAGAGACAAAACGAAGATCGTTCTAGGATCCAGAAAGATATTGGCCTAGAGCAATTACCGTGAAGGTTAAATTGGTATGCGAAAATTGTTTCACTCGTGAGATTTACGAGTACCTCATGTCGTGCGGTGGGTGCAGGATTGTGTCTCAGAATCTGCCAGACGTACCCTTAAATAACCCAAAACTCAAGCTTTCTTTAACATACAAATATTTTCTGTGCGTCTCAGACTATGTAGGGCATGCAGGTTCTCTTTTCAAATAAACTGGAGATACCTATGCCAGTAGTACGTCCTCTCTTATGCCTCACATATAGCTCCACTCAAACAGTACCACCCCTCACAAGTCCTCATTCGATCATACACTTAAAGGAGCCCTTTGCCCTTTATTATCTCCCCTATCCAGCCAACGAAACGATGGCCATTTGCGGGTGTATGGCAGCCGGGAAAAATTGCAAAAAACCACTGGGTGGGGGGCTCTCCTACTAACGACATTAGGACTAGATCCGAAAACATAGTGATCCTTCTGAAGCGTTCAAAGATTCCGGTCAGATGGGCGCCGCAGACTTGTGGGTACCTCGGGAAATTGACCCTCTGCTTTTCTAGCCTCCTGGCAACTCCTTCCCGAAGATTGTGCTGAAATTTCAGAGAAGTCTTTATATGGCGTTATTGCTGTATAGTAGCTTAGCCCAACTTCTTTTTTTGCCGTCCTGAGCCCTGGAGAGTGCCGTTGATTCATCGACAATTGAAGTCCTGGCTAATTTGCGGAAATCTCGTTCTTGGCGCCCACAAAGTATCTAAAGTTGTAAGTAACTCGAAAATATGTTCTCTAGCACCCTCACCAGAAGCCTCTTCACTTCCTCATTCCCAGCCCAGTCGCCGGTCTATCCTCGAATTTTGTAGCCCCATTAGAGCAACAGTCCCCCACAAACCAAGACCCGAGAATTGTATATTATGACTTAGTTTTCTCCTTGTGAATACATGTAAATCGTGATGTTGTTGTGAGACGTGGCCGATTTTTGATGAGATAAAATCTCTCCCGCAAATGAAGCAGCTCTTTCTATGGTCAATGAGGCGAGTTGGTGCGTGGTCAACTTGAGTTAGAGGAATAGCGTAAAGAAGATAGGTACGAAATTGATGAGAAGTCACCGATCTTAAATATATTTGTATCTGCTTTGAACTCCGATCCAGATTTGATCATTCTTGACTACCCCAGATTTACAAAGGATACAAAAGGATTACACTGCCAACATTGGAAGGTGAGGAATTCCTCTTTTCGGGCTCGTTGTCCCTTATACTTCCTAGGCTCTTCGCATGTGAAATATTCCCGCACTATGAACTCCAATCTTTCTATTCTTTTTTCACCTCACCGGTAAAAGATTCATAATATTTACTTAAAGGTAACTTGCTGTCCCAAATGAGGTCTCGACTGTTCACCAGTGATATGTACCAAGTGTGAAAACCATAGAAATTGCCAGAAATTTGGTGTCCAATCATGCGTAGAGTCTTGCATTGCCTATACTTAATAGCGGTTGCAACATGTACCCGTAGATTTTTAAATAGCCATTTATCCTAACCATCTCTTTTCTGTAGCGTAGTGGGATATAAGAAAACTTAAGTTTGCGCCTACAATGAATTATGAGTTGTATGAAGATTCTAATAAAGACCACCTTCGTTCAGAAAGATGTAAGGAATTTTCAACTCCAGAGCTAATCTTGATCAACTAACTGACCGCGATAAGCATCCAGCTAAATATTTTAACCTCCTAGCATCTCACAATGGACTACCAGGCATAGTGCTATTACATGCGGTTTTCGGCAGAGGCAACTTCACAAAATATATTAGGTAAAAGAGTCTTGAGAAAGATACGTATGACTTGGTTTTGCGTTTTAAATGTTGGCTTTTTTTTTGCATCAGATTTTAATTGCGTATGAATGTTGGCTGTAGAGCACTTTAGCTACATATGAAATTAATGTGCTTCTATGAAGGTCACCTGACCTGTATAGCTTAGTTTACATGAGTTGGAGAAATGTTATCCCTAGATAAAGGGTCGAAAAGAAATTATTTTTCCAGCGTAGAGCTGGCTCCTTATTTATCAAATCACTGTTACACATTTGCGATCAGTTGAAGATTTCATTGGAGCAGATCTCTGCGATTGCTCAGGAAATGATGTTGTAGACATTCCTCTGTAGCTAGTTAGGCCTTTCTACAAATTCATGTTTATCACGTGACTGGTTGCGAGGAATACGTGCAACAGTTTCAGGTTAGCTGTATTAACTTTTTGTCTCTATTTCAATAATTATCATTCGTGGAATTTGAGCCAAATTGTTAATTTTAGCGCGAGTCAGAAACTCTTCGACATTGGGCAGGGATTGGTGGGAGTAATAATGTGCTAAGAATTTCTCTTCTGTATCCCATTATATTTATTCGTGTTTGTGACGAGGTGCATTGAAGTGTTCACATATTTTTTTGATTTAGATCAGGCGGCTGTGAGTTATAGTTTGGAAATTTTTAGATATTTACAGCACCCAAGTCCCTTATATTTCAGTGGCAAATTATTGCTCGGTCTGGAAATAGTTGAGAAGCATCATGCGTTCAGAAGATTCCTCGCCCCAATTCTTGACGACAACACATGAACAGTTGACAACCTTGCGTGCATTTCCCTCACGATCCAATACACCTTATTGATCTGTTAGTTTGAGAATGATTGTTTATCCTTATCCATCACTTACATAAGCCAGCCCACTCGCCCAGCTGCTTTCCATCGGGTACCTTGATGAGGGGGATCTTATGTTCAGAGCAAAGTGCGACAATGAGTTTTTTGTACGCCTCTTCCTCACATGCTTCGTTTAAGACACACATGTGCGCTTCACGCCTGTCGAGAGCCTTTGATGCTTCCCGCAGACCTCTGGCGAGGCCATCGTGCATGAGAGCTGTTCGTAAGGCACCCTTCAGAGCGTCTAGAACAGTCATCTGTCCCTTGGGGGTAGCATCTGCAGACACCTCAACTTCCTCGGCTTCCGCAACGGGTGAGGTTGGTTCTTCTACGTCAGACTGTAACGGAGTCAGAGATGTAGAATTTTGATTCGATTTTGAGTCTTACCATCGTGCGCTTGTGTGATATCTTATGATCCTCGAAGAACGATAAATGTTATTGTGCTGTAATCCAGAATTTGTAATTGTGGAATTATTTATTGAAATTTGTGGGGTTAAGCGATTTGTGCCCTTAAATTATTAGCCTGTTTTAGTCAGCTGCCACACAATTTAAAGAATTTTCTCGCATCATTTTGAGTATACATCGACAAATACTTACAGGTACGTTACAAGAAAGAACCTGTATATGACAGGATGCTTCCATTTCTAGCTAGCCCTCATTCTTTTTGTGAATAAGGTTTTGAATCCGACCCAGCTCAGAAACTATGGATGAAAAAATCCTAAGCATCAATGACACCGAAAAATGAGCTAAAGAACCCTTTTCTAACAATGAGGGCACTCTCTACGCTCAAGCCTACAAGGCTAACAATCCGTAGATACCTCATTTCCTTATAGCGGTTTGAGAATCTTACAATCGACAATATGGTCAAGACTTCCGTGCTCAACGATGCCCTCAACGCCATAAACAACGCTGAAAAGTCTGGAAAGCGTCAAGTCTTGATCAGACCCAGCTCTAAAGTCATTGTCAAATTCCTCTCTGTGATGCAAAAGCACGGTATGTATTAATCAACAAACCCTAAAACACAACTTCGGCATGATAACTAGATGACGGTCTCAATTCCCAACGATCATAATCCTTTAAGTTGCCGATATATTAAAGCGAGAATCTTACAAGTTACCTTTTCCTGCATTGAAGCTTAACGTTTAATTTTTCGCAACAAATTCTAATATTTTTTGAAGGATATATCGGAGAGTTCGAAGAGGTAGACGACCACCGATCCGGAAAAATAGTTATTCAACTGAACGGACGGTAAGAAATACCCTTGACATTCTGGGAAATTTATTAATTAAATAACAGGCTTAACAAGACTGGTGTAATTTCTCCCAGATACAATGTGCGTCTTGGAGACCTAGAGAAATGGGTTGTTAAGCTTTTGCCATCCCGTCAATTTGGATACATGGTCCTTACAACCTCTGCCGGCATTATGGACCACGAGGAGGCACGAAGAAAACACGTAGCTGGAAAGATAATTGGATTTTTCTACTAGATTTCATAAAATCTGCCTACCAAAATTTAAAAAGTAACCAATGTGGTCCCCAAAGAATATGGTTTTTATGAAGATTGACCTTGTGACCTAACCTATCGAGTGATTCGGTCAAATAATTACCTGCCAGACACAACAAACACCTTGCCATACTTTCTTTTATTGCACGAGATACCTATTTATGAATGTTTCAGCTTGAACCCGATTATCGGCTGAGCCACGTGATTATTATGACACCCCTGTGGATCCTAAACGTAGCAGGCTACGTTATGTAACATAGACTGCTAAATGCGATTGCCCTATAACTAGTAAACTACGCACAAAGAGTAGATTTCGGAGTTGGGAGTTTGAAGGAGATATAGACTAATTTATTAGAACTCAAGCTTAACTATTGCATTCTACGTAACTAGCCGTAGTAGAGCCACGAGTTATATTTGTCACCACCCTGTTTCAATTGTTAGCGATCGAAACCAATACCCCTACACCTACAGGATAGCCTTTGCCTTCAATTCATTGCTGTCTTATCCTCATGATTCTGATTATTTGCGGTAGGAATGAGAAATTTCACAATAGAACATACAAGAAGCTGATATCAGCCGCGAATTAGTAATCTTGATATTTTAACAAACGTATAAATTGTTGATAACATGATTATTACCAGCTGCACAGATAATTGTTAACAACCTTTGTATATCTAAACGTTCCATCATTAATACTCTAACCGTAACAATGGGGTGTATATGAACGAGTTGGAGCAAGCAGAATGATATCCAGACAATACCGAAGTACTAAAACAAGGACGGGATCGGTTTCCATATTGCCACTTGAGTCTATGACTATCCAGCACATTAGGCTCCTCCCTGACCCAAGCCACATAAAAGGTGTTGAGTTTTAGTCTTCCTCCAGCGTTTAATCCGAAAGCTCATAACAGGCTCTTTAAACACTCTCCCTGCTCTCACGAAAGGTCAGACTCGCTGCTCTTTGCCATGAAGAATATTTCGTGACATTTAATGCAAGAAACTATTTAGCCTTAGGCAATCCAAAGTTTGATAATCCTTTTTTTTTTTTTTTTTTGCATCAGATTTGAATTGCGTATGCAGCTATCTAGCTATGACACAATATCAAAGAAAAGTACATAAAAGATGACTCAATTTACAAGAGGAGCACTCATGCCTCGGATTTCATTAGCAAGTACCACTGCGAAGTTATGGTAGTTTTTTCTTCACCCCAAGTCAACCCCCATCCGTGAATACTCACCCAGGGGAACATCTCAAAAACCCTGAGTTATCCAGACATGCCTCCGTCACCCATCAATTTTTCTCCGCGCGAAATGTAATCTGAGATGTCTTCTTCCCAAGTGGAGTAGGTGCCCAGGCTACTCAGACTATATTGGAGAACACCGCCAGGAGGCGGACCACAACACCTTCCATCGTTTGCTTGTGTTTATAGTGTCAGCTGCACTCTCGCAAACGGAGTCTTGGCGCGCACAAAGCTCGATTCGTAAAACTCTTTCCAAAATTCGAAATTTCACGCCCGTCGAGAATGTATCCCTCTTTTGCATCATCTTATAAACTTGTCCTGATCCCTCTCACGTCCATCCCAAAGAGCTATCTCCCAGATTTTTGCGCCACACTTTGCTTCCTCCGTCGGGTATAAATATCGGCGTGGGCGTGTATTTGGTGACCGGCTGAGGCCAGAGAAAGTCGACGAGAGGTGTGGTCATTGAAACAAGGATGTACTAGGTCGTACTTGTAGACTTGATGAAGCTTAGTTGAGAATCGGACTCTTTGGGAGTGAAAGATTGACATGGTGGAGTAATTTGAATTTTTGCCTCGTGGGCCAACTTCTTTGACATTGCGAAATTTGACTGAACTTGGCTCTGGGAGAATATTTCACTCCCAGGTTCGTAGAGGACACCGCGTACAGGTGTTCAGTCTTGCCCTCCTTGATAATCCTTCATTGACATAGATTCGGTAGAGACTTAAATTCAATTCTATTCAATTCCAAGTCTGGTAAGTATCAGCATACTTACCACATAGAGCTGCCTTGCCATACGACGCCAGCGTGTTTCCCAAGTAGCTAGATATGTGATTTTGCTCTGGTTTAGCCGTGGATATCCACACCTGTGTGGATAATTCATGGCATTGGGGTCAATATCGCATTGAATAATTCGTTTATCTACAGCTTCCGTGGGGAGGTCTAGATTTACTGATCCTCGGCGAAACTGTGTAAACATGCACGGATAGAACTTGTCGTTGTAACTTTGTGTTTTTCACCTCACCGACCGGACAATCACCCCAATGAAATTTCTCTGCATTTTACGGACGGTGTAAGCCCTTGGAAAGTGTCTTTGCGTCTTTTTGAGTAGCTCTGCTGGCTGCATGTTTCCTGCATTTTGCACTTATACCCTCACCGCTGTTTTGGCCACGGCAGCATAGCTACAGAGGCGTAAGAATTAGGGCTGGCGGCAATGAAGCCATTAATGGACCCGCACTGCGAGCGGGATCTACAAGACTCTTGTCTAATTTAGCTATACTCGAATCTTATTGTTCGAGTTGAGATTTCACCATCTGCACATACCTTCAGTTCTTGTTGTGCAGGATGAAAACCCTTACGGCATCGACGACGTTTCTATTACTATGGTTACATTATCGTCGTCTTCACATAAATGAAGAATTCTAAAACTCTTCAGCAGCTAGTTCAATTTGTGATATTCTTACATATCATGTGCACTCCACTTCCCCTAATTATACATGCCATTTTCGCAGTCCGCGCTGCGTTGAGACAGCTGAATTTCATTACATCAGCTACAGCACCCGACATTGTTTGACACAACAGACAAATTAGTGCCAGCGGACTGGATGGAGTTGACTTTAAGGATTGGTGGAGTAAAATCGATGAGAAAGGCAGCGTGTAATGTAGCGTAACTAGTGATGAAGTCGATACTTCCATATCATTGATATCGGAGTAGAACTTAGTGGTGTTGATACCCTAACGTGGATATTGCGGAGAAAATTAGAGGGTACGGTGAAAGACTTTGAGGCACCCAGAGAAAACCAAGATCTGGAGTAGTTTCAATTGTTCGCCCTCGAAAAATGTTAGGCTTGAGCCATTTGTGGTACATATGGGGAGAGAAAGTGTAGAAATAGTTTCTAGTGCAATTTCTGCTCTCAACAAGTCGAGATCTAGGACGCGGACAGACTGACATCATGCCCATCGTCTGACATCACGATAACAATCATCAATATTTCTACAGCCGCAATCTATGCAGAGTTATTCTGGGTATTTGCACCTTGATTTCGAAGAGGAGAGACGGGTAAATTCTCGAACGCGCAGGTAGTGGTTTTATTTATCTTCGTTCTTTCAGAATCAATGCGTTGTCGCACAGAAAAGGTTGCGGACTCATCCACCAAGGCTTTGATTATCTTGGATAGCTTCAAATTTTTTATCTCCCTGGCCATATGCTTGCAGACTTGCAAATCTACCATCTTCGTGGTGAACGCCTCTGAGCTGTCAATCCATTGACGCTACACCGCACGCATTTTCTTTCATGGTATTCATATCCTACGCACTCTAAAGTAGAAATCTGTTAGGGTGTAGTAGCGAAACCATTTTTATTTTTTGGTAAAATGAGGCGATAGTTGAAGCGTTTGTGTATATCTGCCCACTTCGTCATCGGCACACGAGGTTCCACGAGTTTGATCCGCGCCATAATCGACTATACTGATCACGTGATGTATTAAATAATTTTCATTCTCCAACTACCCTCACGCCATGGTTTAAATTTCTAGTACATTGTTCGTCACAGGCCAACTACCTCTTCCATCGAATTCGAACGCGCCAGGAACCATGGGCCGCGAACTCCAGAAGAAGAAGAAACGTTCCTCGCTTCCGCGCGTGCGAAGTCGAAGGCCAGCCAAGAAGATTAACCCTCTGGGCAATGCTATCATTGCCGCCAACTGGTAGGCACAGCGTGCTCGCAAGAACAGGCGCGTAACTAATACAACTGAAGGGATCATGATGCGACACTGATGCAGAACTACGCACGTCTCGGTCTCACGGCGCGACTCAACGCAGCGACGGGTGGCGTCGAAAAATGCCAGGCCGGTCCAACAACTTCCACAACACAGCAACGCCTTGCTGTTGCCAATCTCCGCCCGAACTTGCTCGAGCCAGGTGAGGCGCGTGTCGAGCGCGATCCTGCAACAGGTAAAATTTTGCGCGTCATTCACGCTGCAGATGGCCCACCTAATCCTCTTTGTGACCCTCTCGGCCCTGATTCTGAGGCGCTGGGTATGGGCACGCATGGCGAAAGACTTGAAAGCTGCCCTTCTACGGCCCCAAGTGCTAACCCAGTCTTACGATTGCTCGAAGAGCAGGCCGGCCGCGGAGTGACCAAGACAAAACGCAAACAAAGTGCGCGAGAGCAAGAATGGATAGGACAGCTCGTAGCCAAATACCAGGATGACTACAATAAGATGGCCAGAGATCGAAAGCTAAACCCACTTCAACAGACGTCATCAGATATAAGAAGAAGAGTACAAAAATGGAAGGCCGATTCCGCTCCAATCCTCGAAGTCATATAAAGTATCTTCGGAGCATCGGACAGAATCTTGGACTTGATACCACATAAGTCGTTAAGGCTCATAAAGAAGCCGAGGTAGATTGCTACAAGCCCCCCTACACCTGTAGTAACAAGTTTGATACCTGACAAACGCCCCACTACACATCAACGGCATGAAGGAAAGGATTTACAGCAAAACTATGCACAGGCTCATGGTTCAAAGTTGAGAACCCTTAAAACAACCGAACCCTCTGACACAAAATAAATATTGCGAACACATTTGAAGTATTTTCAACTCAAAAATAGTCAATTGTGAAAAATTGCTGTGGTGGTTAATAGCAAGCCTTCAGCTGACCAAGGAGATAGAGGATTCGTATAGCATATTCAAAAACATGAATTACACTAGACTTAACTGACTGGTGAATCAGTTACAGATAAGATTCATTACAACACAGTCCAGAAGATCTGTTTGAATGTAAAAATTGTATCATATTCAAGGTTGATCTACGTCTTTAGACCGTTTGCATCACCCACAAGGCAATAAACAGCAAAATGCAGCTCCTCACAATGGGTGTCCCATATTGACATGGACTGCCTTTATTTGACTGTAGCCCGCAAGCCCAGCCTCGCCCAGTTCTCGTCCGATTCCGCTTTGCTTCACTCCACCAAAGGGTATTCTGTAGTCTGAATTATTACTTGAGTTAATCCACACCATTCCCGCCTCTATCCTCTTCGCAACTCGGTGAGCCCGTGTGATATCCTTGGTGAAAACAGCACTTCCGAGACCGTACATGGTATCGTTTGCCATTTCCAGGGCTTCCTCCTCTGTTTTAAAACTGGTTAATACAACGACTGGTCCAAAAATCTCCTCGCGGAATATTCTCATGGAAGGTTTCACATCAGAGAAAATTGTTGGCTCAATGAAGAATCCATTTCCAGATGGAGTTGCACGACTAAAGGCTTCGCCTCCCAAGACCAGTTTTGCTCCTTCATCCTTGCCGATTTTGATAAAGCTTTGAACCCGATCAAATTGAATTTTAGTCACCTGTGGTCCTTGAAAAGTAGTTTCGGCAAACGGGTCACCAACTACGGAGACTTTCTGTACTCGTGCCTTGAATGAGGCTAGGAAGGAATCGTAAATACTTTCCTGAACAAGGATCCTTGAGGTGGCAGTACAAATCTGGCCTTGGTTGGACATGATACCTTGATAAAGTCAACGACTGTAACGATAGGACGAATTCAACATACCCGCGTGTGACCACTTGACAGCTTGATCTAAGTCGGCATCTTCAAAGATGAGTGATGGCGACTTGCCAGCAGTTTCCAGGGTAACGTTTTTCATTGTGCCCGCAGCCAGTTTCATGACTTCTTTCCCAGTACTCGAGCTACCTGTGAATGCAATCTTGTCAATACCTGTATGTGAGGCAATGGCAGCGCCAACTTCGCGACCATATCCATTTAGAATATTGACAACACCTGGGGGAAACCCAGCTTTTTTGATAAGATTAGCCAAGTACAAAATGCTCAGTGGCGTCTGTTCTGCAGCTTTCATTACAATAGTATTACCACAAGCGAGAGCAGGGCCCAATTTCCACGCAGCCATAGCGAGAGGATAGTTCCACGGTATTATCTGTCCACAGACACCAATTGGTTCTTTGATCGTGTAAGCAAATTTTGCAGGTCCAGTATCTATGACTTGGCCGTGGATCTTATCCGCATAGCCGCCGTAATATCTCAAAACACCGGCGACTTCGTCGAGGTCTCCATTTGAACTACGAATCGTCTTGCCGTTGTCCCATGTCTCAATCGTTGCCAGGGTACCTTTGTGGCTGACGATAAGGTCGGAGAGCGTTATCAGTAGATTCCCCCGATCCGTAGGTGATAGATCGCGCCAGCTGGGGTCTTTCAAGGCACTTCGAGCTGCGGCTACTGCGGTATCTACATCTTGAGTGGATGCCGCATAGACTGAAGTTATTACCGATTCATCCCTAAAAGTAAGGGTTAGCTGATGGATGCATCATGTAGATCTAATCGGACCCACGTAGGATTAACGGAAGTTATCATTTCACCATTACTGCTCTTTACCCATTCATTTTTGATAAAAAGTCCAGTTGGCTGGCAATAACTTTTGCCGTTGGGCGCGGTTAGTTCAACGGATAAATCACTGGACATTTGGGGCAGCAGGTCAGAATCTAGCTGATTCATGGACAGTCGTCTGTCGAGGTTAGTTGGATAGTAGCTAGGTGATGATATCTGTGTTGTACGTAACCGTTGGGGATTTGGGCGGTGACAATATCGTAAAAGCTGGTATGGGTGGGACTTGAACTTGACAATAGGTTGCATACCAATCACATGCGGTTAGTGGGTCCTTGGTTCAGCAGGGCAAGAGGTTGCTATATTGATGGGGCGATGAAGGAGAAGGAATTGGCGAATAACGGGGACGGATGGCAATTAGGCAACAGGTTTGGAGGGGAACTGCAGCACAGATAGCGAGGGCAAGACATTTGGCTCAATTGGGAACTATATGTGATAAGCTGCAAGAGAACTGATAGACATAGAACGCCAATTTTCAGCCTTGAGGTTGATAAAAAGAAATGGTTTACATGTCGTCAACTATTTGGCGTAGTTGGGTGCATTTGCTACGATCACTAACCAGGGCCGTTTCGCGTGCTCCCAGCTCTTTTCCTAGCATAACCGCTAGAGGGTTTGACTAAGTAGCGATTGCTGGCGGAACTCCCCACGAACCTTCTACACTCGGCCTGGAGTATGCAGTGTAATTATTAAAGCAACACACTATCGGATATAACTATTTGGTCCACGAACTGAGGGCATTTCCAGGGGCCTCGGAAATCGGCAAAAGTAAAAGCTTTTTCGTTCAACAGAAGACATTCTATTTGGTGATTGTTTGACATTATAATGCGAACTATGAATTAACGATGAACGTGTGTGAAGAAGTTGATGAGAGGCAACGAATACGGAGAATACTTTCTGCGCTGACCCGCAGGCAGGCCTCTCGGAATTCTTCAGAAGCTTAGCTTTAGCCTCAGATTTGTTCTAGGTGTCGATAGGAAGGCCTCGTAAACAGCTATTTTATCCAAGCTTGCCGGCAGCCACACATCTGCGTGTGAACAATTATTCGTTGATTGAGAGAAAAATATGGGCCAATTAGCTCCTACACCTACCCTGTAGCCACGGATTCAAGTTTGCAGTGGAGTTAAGTGGAGGCGCATATTAGTTTCAGGGGGTGTGCCCCTGTTAGCGCCTTATTCGACGGGGTGTATAATTTGTGTCCTGGATTGCAAGGCCTGAACCAAGGGCTCAATTTGATTTGTTGTCACCCTCAGTTTTATGCAAATCCAACATGATCCCCAGTTCCTTTCCGTCGCTTCTCTGTCTGTCGACCGCCAAAAAGTTGCAGAGCTTTTTTCATCTTGTGCATGACTGACAATAAGAATTAGATTTCTCAAATACAAATTTACTTATTCAGAAGACATATGGCTTTACTCAATACTAACCTTATTTTGCAGATGAATCCACCTCAAACCCCACCTTCAACACCTTGAATCAAAAAATTATCCAGAGATCAAAACATGTTAATAAGCCGAAAGATTATAAATTACCCAATTGAAATTAAATTTTTTTTTAGATCTATTGGCTCTATGAATTTGGCAAGAATCAGACCTATGTTGCCGCGCAACCAGAAAAATTTAGGGGACAAGTTAGTTATTCACTGCGCCGCAGAACTATCTCCCCCAAAAAGAGTAAAAGAATATCCTCATGACTGAAAGCAGATGATGTTAATCAGATTACATCTTACGTTGAGTCTTCACCTGAAAACCGCTGCAAAACATTTCGGGAATTTGCCTCTGGCCCATTTAGATATCTTGGTGTTAGTGAGTGAGTAATACCAAGAGAACTTTAAAGAAGAGTATATCAACGACATTTAGCTCATCTAAAGTCTCTAGCATCTCAAAAAACTATGAAGATACGCAGAGAACGGGCCGAAGCTCATCTCAAATAGACGTTTGAGCATCGCAAGTGTTATTGACCGACAAAATTTGGGTAGAGAATGGAAGAAATGAGCAAGAAGCCAACTCAACCGTTTTTCTGGCCCCCAATTTGTCTGATCTTAATCCGACTGAAGTTGTTTGGAATAGGATGAAGGATTACATCCGATTCTGGGTGGTGGAAAGCAGCGTACTCCAGACAGTCTTCGCAGTATCGTAAAGGAGGCATAGGATCCCGTGTCTCCCGAAGATCTTGTGAGACTTATTGAGAGCATGCCAGCAAGATGTCAGACTGTGGTAGATTCGGATGGGGGACCAACCAGATAAAAAGGCCTGAAAATATTCCAGCCGCATGTTCAGAACCAAGGTTAAGATAAGACTGGGTTTCTATTTTGTAATTCGAAAATTCTCAAACTCGTGAGAAAAAAGTTGTAAAGTCAAAGAAATACTCAAATGTTATGCAGCCGATCAATATACTGATTAGGTTTAGCACGAGGGAAAGACCCACTGCCAACTATGGTGTTCTGAAAAAATTTGCCATACTAATATTTTCAACAATTTGCACAAATACGGGGGTTAACACCAACGTGAAAGGTCTCCATTCCCAATAAGGCTTAATCAGCAAGCTAAAAACCCCTGCTATAGCCCCACTACAAACTTGACATTATAGCAATGGGGCAGATGATCAAGTGAGGATCTGTAGGGGATAGTGCTGTCGAAAGAGAGCTATGAAATAAGGGATGTAAAGAGGATCTATACAGGATTTAGCTGTAGACGGAAAATATTGGTGAGTCAAATCTCAACAACTGTGAAAGCCCAATAGTCAGCTTTCGAAGCCCTTTGAAGTTATAGACTCGTAATCTATTAAATTTAGTTACAGGCTGAGTAAGAACAATGAAGATTTATAGATAACATAGCAGAGCACTACAGGCAAAAGCAATGGCTCATGACCTACGACATCTATCGCATCAAAACTTTATTCATATGAATAAACCACGCTTTTTTTTCAAAATCTGACTGGATTTGGTTCAGTGATGTCTGTCTCACAAACTGCAAATGACTAGGATGCTCACACCTGACTAGGGAAACCTGGCCACATGGTATACCACTACGCCATCTGATTCCAGCAGAGCATCGCGGTAATGACGACGCCATGAAACTAGAGGCGTAGAGATAGATAATTTACTCAAATGGGTGTGCTGATGTTGAGATGGAGGTTTGCCGTGGAACATGCGTATGTGCCATGAGATACAGCACAATGAGACTCCCTAAGCTTCAAAACATCATAGATTTCACGAGGTGGACTAGAGGGTGCATTGTGTCTCATGACCCAAAGTTTAGGGAGGGAAATTGAGGAAGCAAAAGAGGCAAGCCTGCTAAAACCTCGCCGCGGGTCTTGACGTCACCAAATGCGAGCGAAAGATATCTCAAGCTTCCGCGTAGCTCGTACTGTAGTTCGCTAGCAGTGAGACTTAAGAAGTTTTCTCAATATATTCGACCTGAGTATTCTGATCTGCAGTGAGTAGAGCATTAGCGGATCATCCAACTGCCTCAAATATTGAGCGGCATCTTCTAGCCTAGCCGCCGGCGCGAGGGTATGAGGATCTTATGTTGTGCAGGGGGGCTTTGCACTGAAGCATCGACACGGATATGTATTCTCGCTGGTCGTCGACCTTACATCTGTAGCCATGGCCCTGGAGCCGGAGAAGAAGCAAGTAGATAGTGAGACATGACCGGCTGCCATTCTAGTTGCCGGAGGCTCGACGGAGCGTACTCATGCGTCAAAAGGAGCCGGTATGAGGAGCTGCACACTCTACAAAGTAGTTCTCTAGTGCTGGCCAGCCACATTGCAAAGCCTCACGGTAGTATTCAGTAGTAGTTGTGGAGCAGCTGAACGTCACCGATTCAAGACACCCCTTAAGCCTTGCACGACAAGTCTATTAAGTCGCCCCATCCCTTTCCACCAATATTTGTCATGCAGAAGTCGTGCATGGTTACTTTGTCAACAGTACGAACAAACAGCAACACGGATGGAGCATGTTGGAAATTACGAAGGGAGAAAAGGAAACGTATCACCAGAACCAACCCCCGCGACTAGACGGTGAAATGTGGCGACAAGGAATGTCACGAGTGACAGGGGCGAGGAATGAGACAGGATGAGTAGATTTCGGGGACAGACGAGCAGGGCCCCTTATTGCCGATCTACAGCGATGCACAGGCATTGGACAGGTGTGGGATAGCTATCAGGCTAGGTGGGCACCAGGGATACGCCTCCGCCCAAGACCCCGAGTTGAAGGGTTAGGATGGTGGTTTGTTTCGAAACAACAGTCCTCGGCCCCAGCGATGCCATTCTGGTGATGAGACACGCCCGCCCATTCCGCTAAAGTGCCAGCCACTCTCGGCTCGCAAGCTGTCCCATGCTCAACGAAGCTGTCTTAAATATCTGCCGTCATCAGCCATTAGTCCGTAGAACGTGTTGCATGAATATTCAGGTGGCAACCCTCTCGCGCAAGTTTCTACTATAAATGATGTTGGTGACTGTAGGAGCAAGTTTTTTGCTATCGAGACGCGTCCCTTCATGTTCAAAGGTGCTAATGACGATGTTAGTGGGTGTTCAGACAGGAAAGAATGCCGCAGGCAATGACAGAGCCTCGGCTACTAGCTCCACGCGGGCATTGGACCTGTGGCTCTATAAAGGTCTCAGTGAGGACTCGAGATAAAGTAGCATCCGCTCATACTAGTAGCCTTCCATGTCATCCAGGATTGTCTGATCTGCCGAAGGGATCAGACCCACATGGCATGCGCGCAGAGTCCACCATTTGAAGGCCTCGCGAGATGAGGCAGCAGAATCCGACACATCAACTCAAGAAATTGCTGTGTAGAGGAATCACCAAGCTTAGACCGTACAATTCTATATGGTTAGGCGGTGCCCGAATATTGAAGGTATTCACTACTGCCGCACACACGCTTGAGATATAGCTGTTACGGGAGTCTTAGCGGTCTCTTCACAGGTACTAAGATCCAGTCAATAGGCTGTCGCTCAGAGAAGGGAGTGTTTGCTCATGGACGGGAGCCATTCTTTCATAATCTCTCTGTCAGGGGTAGTTAACAAGCAAGCGGTGTGGAGAGAGTGAAGGTAGCCGCCTTGAATTTGGTGAGTTGGAAGAAAAATAGCCAGTTGATCGTTTGTGCTCTCCCGGCTCGTGGTTGGTTATGCGTGAGCAAAGCACATAAGAGGAATCAGGGGGAGGATCGGGGTGGAGACTAACCAAGATGTCAATTTCCAAGTCAACGTAAGCCAACAAAACAGCCTCCTACAATTCGAGTTGGAGAGATCGTAGGTAGATCTCTTTGATATCCAGGTGCCCGCAATCAACGATAGTTGTCGCACCCTACTGTGCATGACGTACGAGTGAATGATCTCAGAAATGACAGCCAAAAAATCCTCAAATCTACTGACTTGAGACAAGTTTCTTCGTTTATCCTAGCATGCCAATGACACAGAATCATCAGTTAGCGAGTTGGTTAGTAGTTTATGTTGCCTTGAGTCCTGTGTTGCTAGATCACTGTGCTATCATGCAAACTCAGTGGTATGGTGCACGCGCGTTATACACCCCTAGTCCTTAGTAAAACACACGCTCCACCCCTCGCCCAGCCTTAGATCAGATAAGTTTTCCATCGTTACAAGGCTCATAAACTATCAGTTTACTTTACTTCAGTCCAGCTACGCATTCTTGTCTCGACCAAGATACCGAGTTTTTCGATGTCTTATGTGAGGCATATTATGCACAGATCGATTCCCATATTGGCCTGCTAAAGCTTATTGATCATGATTGTTATGGAGGGCTTACTGTTGGCTCCGCCAGATCGTGGCTCTATAATAGGAAGAGCTGCTTGGAAGGTTTAACTGTCTACATCGTGATGAGAAAGGCTACGAGCTAACTTATTTTCTTAAGACAAGATATATCGTCTTGGGTAGCGGATCAGAAGCAAAGACTCAGAACAACCTCACAACTCAGCCCGAAAAGAGTGCAATGTCTCGAATTGGTCTCAAGTCTCCGTCCAAGCCTAACATAGTAGAAAACTCTCCAGCTGCTGAGCAGAAGACTCAATTATACGTGTCAATATACAAATCAAAGGTAAGCAACTTCTAAGCCCAAATAACCCCACTGACACCTATAGGGAGAATACGAGCACTTAGCCCAACATCCCATATCTGCATTTCAATGCTGTCAAGTGCGCAGTATCCAACATCGAAAACAAAGTCCACCCTTACCAACGCTCGCACTTGAACTGAAAAGCTTCACGACAACCACCAAACAGCGAAAGCGGCGCTCGAGTAGGTCAGGGAGCCTAATAACTAAGGATGCGGGTCCAAACTCTTTCCTTTTCCGATCTGTAGAGAGCGAACCATACACAATATATGACTGGGAAGAGCAGATCAAGCCATTACTGACGCCAGTAATGGATAGTATTGACTCAACATGCTGCAGAATTCCGACAAATTTCATTAGTCCATTCACACCTATTGCTAATGCTTTACCAATAAACAAACTTGATAACCTTAATTGCCATAATATTCGGGTCAAGGCCCCACACCAGTACATATTACCAACAAAATCTTCGGGACTGATCTCTCCAACTCCTAGTTTACGGTCAAAGCATTCTGACTTGTCTTCAAAGGCAAGCTCACAGCTTGTAGGATGTTGTGTTGCTGCCCCAGCATCTTACACGAGCATACCGCCACCTGAATATCTACCTTCCACTTCAACAAGTGATTACGAAAACCATCTAAATGAAAGCTGCAGACTAGCTCAGGGACGTTCGTCAGTTCTATCCTCACACACCAGAGGTAGTAATAGTGTTGCCTCAACCACTGCGTCCAGTGTTCATAATTCTCTAGGCCCTCGAGAAACTATACTTGATCGAGCGTTTCAGATGCGATACATTCCTGGCAGCGAGCAAATTTCGTCAGAAGAAGATGTCAACAAGCTGTCCAGCACCGCACGATTCGAGGCATTGATGCGTGAAAATGACGAACGGAAATTTTCAAAATGGGAAACAGATGCTAAGGAAACTTCGAATTATATCGGAGAAGACAACAATCTAGAGGACATTGGCGAAGATAGTGAGGATGAAATGTACATAAGCGATCAAGAGAAAGGGTTACCAGCACCGGCCCAGAGGGCTCTAGATTTCATAGCAGGCCGTAGCACACCAACCAGCAGGTCCCTTTCGCCAACATCGAAGCCAGTTATCCCATATCTAAATCTTCAAGCACTATCCGCACTTTCGGGGAACGCCTCCAACTCAGATGACATCATTGGAATTAAGCCCACTAACGGCACCGCAAAACGAATTAACGGTCGACCCGCCTCACTTGCCATGCCGCCACGCTCGCTCTCTACATCTACCGCTTCAGTAATGAAAGAGTGTAGTAGCAGCAGTAAAAATAGCTACAACAACAAAGCCGATTCCAAGGAAAAAAGACAAAGTAGTAATAGTAATAGAAGACTTAGTCTTCAAGATTTCGCAAGAAGGCTAAGTTCTACTAGTAGTTTACTTTTAGTGCAAACGAACACGAGTTCGAGTCCTGGAAAAGGAATAATTGATTACAGTAAAGACCTTGTCACTCACGCCAGGGGCGGCATGAATAGAGAAGAAAGCGATCGAAGATGCAGCTGGAGAGGAAGTGTTGGTGCATTCAGCGTGGATGGAAGCTTTTTGTAGTTTGTGGTGCCGAAGGCCTACACACAACGTCGTATTAGCTTATCAAGTTAGTACCTCTTGTCAAAGCCATGTCGGGTGGAAAAAAGAATGGTGTAGGTTGCTATTTTAGGCGTTAGATACCATGATTCCTTGGTTTGCACTAGTGCTTTGGCGTCGCGAAAATTATGGGGTGCATCAATGAAAATCAGCATGAATTCAGTGTTGACAGAAGGGAACGAGAAACGGCGTTATTGTCACTGCCGCTCAATATCTAATTATAGACTAGCAATAGAGTTGTACCCCTATCACTCGTCTGGATAAGCCTCCCAAACTTAAATAGTCGGAAATACCCCGTCTTATCTGTCGTATCCAACTCACCCCTTGTAGCTCTCCTTGTACATATATCTGAGTAGAGCTGCCAACATTACAACACACAACTACTTGACTTACATTTGCAAACAAGATGGGCGCTAACCAGTCGAAGGCTTCTATCCCCAACGAAAAACATATGATTGCTAAGCCTTTTAACGACATAAAGAACGAAGATCATACACATGTGAGCGAGAAGTCAGCCGTACGCTCCTCCGATATGCCGCCCTTTCGTACTCCATGGAAACCCGTGCGTGTTTCAGATATCGGACAGTGGAAACACCAGATCTTTCAAGACTCAAAAAATCGGTAAGTCAATATCTGAACAAAATTTGGACTTGCTTTAAACAGGATTTGTAGCCTCGCGTTCTCTGCGCTAAGCTCAGCAGAGCCCAAATCCATCCTCACGGCACCTTCGACAATTATCAAGGATCCGCAAGTGTTTAATATCAAAATTCCGCTCGAAGGAGCACCGATCACAAACCAGAGATCTTCAGGACGTTGTTGGCTTTTTGCATCTACCAATGTCTTCCGCGTTGCATTGATGAAGCGACACAACCTTGACAAATTCGAACTTTCACAAGCCTATCTTTTCTTTCACGACAAACTAGAAAAGGCAAACTATTTCCTGGAGCAAATCATCGATACCGTTAATGAGCCATTGGATCAGAGGCTTCTTCAGACTCTCTTGAGCCAACCTGTCTCAGACGGCGGTCAATGGGACATGGTATATAACCTAGTCCATAAATATGGGCTCGTACCACAAGTTCTTTACCCCGACTCATTTAACGCTCAATCTTCGAGTACAATTAATGAAGTAATAACTACCAAACTTCGGGAAGATGCTCTAAAGCTTCGGTCTCTGATTTCTTCTGGCACCAAGACAGTGGAGGAAATAAGTATCATCAAGACAAAGATGGTTCAAGAGGTTCATTTAGTACTGACTTTGACTCTCGGTCCCCCACCTGACCCATCAACTGAATTTAAGTGGGACTACCTTGACAAAAACGGTGAAGCTCATGTGCTCAAAACTACGCCATTGGATTTTGCCAAAGAGTTAGAGACACCAAAGTCTATTCGCATCACTAACTCGACGGTTCACGACATGTTTTCCTTAATTAATGATCCTCGAAACGAATATAATACACTTCTTACCGTTGATCGTCTCGGCAATATTGTCGAGGGACGTCGCATTACCTATGTCAACGTACCGATATCTGTTCTCAAAGAGACTTGTATTAAAATGCTTGAAGCTGGACTGCCGGTTTTCTTTGGATCAGATGTTGGAAAGTATTCTAACAATATACCCGGAATAATGGACGATTCTCTCATCGATTACGAGCTAGGATTCAACATCAAGCTAGGTATGAGCAAGGCACAGCGTCTTATGACGGGTGAGAGCTCAATGACTCACGCCATGGTACTTACGGCTGTACATGTTGAAAACGGGAAGAGTGTGAGATGGCGTGTACAGAATAGTTGGGGTGAATCTGCTGGCACTGACGGCTGGTTTGTTATGAGTGACCATTGGATGAATGAGTTTGTTTATCAGGCCGTCGTCGAGCCAAGGTTCGTCAGCCGCGAGATAAAAGATATACTCAAGACTGAACCCAAAGTCTTACCCATCTGGGATCCCATGGGATCCCTGGCTTAGTAAATCTCGCAGAGATTGGAGTTCAAATACCCCAGGACTAATGTTTAGGTTTTATTAAATTTTAGGCATAGGATTACGTCAACTTGCCATTTATTTTGTAACCTAAGTAGTATTGATTTTGGTTTAGTAAAAAGACTTTAACACCGTTGATGGAAAGAATTTTACGAGGATTTGACCGTGTTTAGCTTTGAAAGTGTGGGCTTTTGCCTAATTAAATTCCGTCATGGGTGAGAGATTCTTTTCCATTAGATGTACTTCAACCTGGCGTGTATCAGCCTGTTAAACCTTCAAATGTAAAACTACAAATGAAAAATATCCAATGTAGAGTATTTTGCGCTTCCTTGGACATGTGAATTATCGCGCGGAAACATAGCCAGCAGCTGCGGCTATGGCACCTCTGTAAAACCTCTCATGCTACAATGTAAGCCAATCCCTGTAGAAGAATTATCCCCCATTTCACATCTGGCTAATGCTGCGGCGCCATGAGAGCGGAAAATTAGGATTGCAATGTTGGTTTTGTCATTGTGAGAGGATATACAAACTGATGACTTTGTCTCTGGGGTTCCTGCACGGAATTGAAAGGAGATTTAAGCGCCCATAAAAAAATATCCTATCCAGGTTCATCGGTTCCTAGGACGGTGTTCAACCCCATATCACGACAGAACTTGAACCGATTTCTAGGGATAAAAGTTGTCTCGTCAAAAGGTTGGGAGTTATGGCATAGACACGTCTTGCTCTAGTGGTTAGGGTGAGGGCGTAGGTTCTAATAACCGACGCGCGGCAGCATTATAATTAGAGGAAATCAAAAACCTGTGTGCGCGATAGGCGTGACGGTCAAACGGCGAAGAAGGCAAGACTGAACACCTGTACGCGGTGTCCTCTACGAACCTGGAGGTGAAATACTCTCCCAGTGCCAAGTCCAGTCCCATTTCGCATTACCGAACAAGTTGGCCCACGAAATAATGATCCAAAATACTACACCACATGAATTTTTCACTCCCAACGAGTTCGACACATGTCTGAGTCTCATAAAGTCTACAAGTACGACCGAGTTCATCCCCATCCCATTGACCACACTTCTTGACATATATTCTCTGGCCTCGGCTGGTCGCCAAATACACGCCCACGCTGATATTTACATCCGACGGAGGAAGCAAAGCGTGGCACACAAATCTGGGAGACAGTTCTTTCGAATTGACGTGAGAGAGATCAGGACAAGTTCACAAGATGATGCAAAGGAAGCATACAATCTCGACGGGCATGTGATTTTGAATTTTGGCAAGGAGTTTCATGAATTGGGCTTTATGCGCGTCAAGACTTTGCTTGCGAGAGTGCAGGCGAAACTGTAAACACCGCCATGGTTGGATGGTGCCGAGGTTCATTGTCTTGGCCAGTCTGCCAAGTAGAGTCTGCATAGCCTGGACACATATCCCACTCGGACAGTAGATCGCTGGTTCGAATCCGGCAAAACACAACCACTTTTCTCGCGGCGCTGGTATAAATGTATGACAAAGGCATACTTGGATAACCAAAGGTTTTGAAACGTCCCTTTGGTGGGTACTAATGGAGGAGGTTCGACTGTTTGTGTAAGCAAGCATACCTCATAATGGTATTTACAAATGAAATCCAGAGTATGAGTGTATCTAATGTCAAAAGAGTGATGCTATATGTATACATCGCACCGGTCATGTGTCATAGCTAGATAGCTGAATACACATTAAATGATTTTTAAATAAAAGGTCAAATGGTGAAAATAATCACAGGAGCTAGTCGTGGCTCACCCCATTTTAGATGAGCTAATTTGCGGGGTTCGGCGATTATCAAAACGACAGTATACGATATGAACTGGTTACTAGTCCGAGTTACCTTGAAGTAGACACAAATTTCAGGTTGAAAGCATCTGTTTTATTTGCCTGTTCCCACGATATGACTAGCTCGTTCGTACCAAGTGGTCCACTTCCAGTTGTCACTGGGTTAGACGGTATTGTAGTAAGGTATAAGCGGAGGTTACCGAGTATATTCTAATTGGTCTGGTCATCTCTATGTGGAGCCGGGATGGTCCGACCACGTTTTGCGCAGCTCTCTGATAGCTTGGCAAGGTTTGCACGGTTGATGTAGCTCCTGGATTTATGCGCAGATATATTGGCGCTTTGTCTGGTACCAGAGTTAGATTGGGTAGTAGATGGTCGCAGAATGTGTCCACGTGGGTATATCACGCCGCATGGTACAGGCGCAATTAAGCTTTCTGTTTGAAAGACTTATGCTCTGGATGAGAAGCGGAATAGATGTGACGAAAATACTCACATCAATTGTAATATCATTCAAGTTTTGGGTCCAACTGGCTCGTACTGCTGACCTCTTGAATGAATGCAAATCTCAGCGACGATCTGGGGAGTGACGAAACAGCGTTCTGCCCACCACATGAGACAGCAGTTGCCTAAAAAAATTAATTGCAAAAACAATTAGGGTGACAAAGCTTGGACTCAGTTTGTGCCAATCAGATCATGGCGGCAGACTCGTTTTATGGCTAGCGTGAACCAGAGGCTATCCACACACTATATTCTTGGTGTTTTATGCTCTAGCTCGCATGGTCACACATTGTAATTGGTGATAAGAGCACCCCGCGATGCCGGTCATTTGGAAGGCCTTGTGAAGCTCAGTATGTTGCAGATGCTGGAGAGAGAGGAGTGTGTTTATTGTACTGCTTGAGTCTTAGAATATGTAGCACATTGGGCTCCTCTCTGGCCGAGGCCACACCTTGTACAATGCTCCTTGCCTCTCGTGTTTCTTGAAAGATCATTGATATATTGCCCTAGATGAATAGCCATTCAGCTCAGAATTTACCTGTAGAATTCGGCCACCTTTTCCACGGAACCTTCTACCCAAAAAAATTATATATAAAAATGTTAGCAATGGAACTGCCTACGCGGGAAAAAGTCTTAAAAAACCTGATGCCCCGGCTAAGCAAGGCCTAGACACCGGGACTATATGAGGTGCG